GTATTTGTACAATTACACATTTTTCTCAGCCGATACAATAGCTTCCTGTGTGAAAACGTTATGATATAGATCACAGAGAAATTTATGGTGTTTCTTGGACACTTCCCACAGTGTTTTCGTTGTATGATCAGTACTCAACAATGTCGTGTTAGAGGTGGTCATTTCATTGGTATGGATTAGTCGCGGTTTCCAGTGATGAGGAGTACTGTCAAAGGTATTTTGATCTTTCCCACTTAGCAGCGTTAATGGAATCATTCTTATACCCATTGAACACTATAATACCCTTTTCTACTCGATACTTACTGATATAACTATAGCAACAAAATTACTGCCAAGTCTCTAAACATCTTGTATTTTGGTGGCTTACCTATCCCAATTACTAATATATTGATTTTATTTGTTGATGAAGCACACGAACCAGTCCAGCATGTTTTGGGATTAAGTTTAGGTCGCTCCTGACAGTGAATATAATGTCTTGTGCAATAATTGGTATCTTCGTATACACATGTAGCCCATCATCCTGAAAATGGATATCTTCATTAACGTCAAAAAGAAGTTTTAGTCGTCCATATAATGTTCTTAAAAACAGCAGCCATTGTCTCAGCAACTGCCTGTTCATTTTCCATGACAATATATATATTAATATTTTATATATATATATTATATATATATATATTTTATATATATATATATATATATATATAAATATATATATATATATATATATATATAAAGAATAGAGAAATTCCAAGCACTTTCGTGACTACTCACATTATCAAGGAACAATAAAAGTAGAGCATCAAAGGAAGGTATATGAAGGGTCTAGCCCACACCTCACTATCAGATCCCACAACAAAGGAACACCTGACACGCCACTCATAAGAAAGGGAACACTGCAGCAGGCCCGCCGGCCCAACTAGACAGATCCTTCACACAACCCACCAACAAACTATTATACCCAAGAAATAAGAATTTTAAAAATTATTATTTGTCCAATGTATTATTAAATTCTTCCCAAATTCTATTAATTATAAATGGATCTAATTTATAATTAATAGAATTTGGGAAGAATTTAATAATACATTGGACAAATAATTAGAAATTTTTGCTGGAAGTCAAAGCCCCTCGCACACAAAACCTCCTTTACCCCCTCCCTCCAACCTTTCCTAGGCCGACCCCTACCCCGCCTTCCTTCCACTACAGACTGATACACTCTTGAAGTCACTCTGTTTCGCTCCATTCTCTCTACATGTCCGAACCACCTCAACAACCCTTCCTCAGCCCTCTGGACAACAGTTTTGGTAATCCCGCACCTCCTCATAACTTCCAAACTACGAATTCTCTGCATTATATTCACACCACACATTGCCCTCAGACATGACATCTCCACTGCCTCCAGCCTTCTCCTCGCTGCAACATTCATCACCCATGCTTCACACCCATATAAGAGCGTTGGTAAAACTATACTCTCATACATTCCCCTCTTTGCCTCCAAGGACAAAGTTCTTTGTCTCCACAGACTGCTAAGTGCACCACTCACTCTTTTCCCCTCATCAATTCTATGATTCACCTCATCTTTCATAGACCCATCCGCTGACACGTCCACTCCCAAATATCTGAATACATTCACCTCCTCCATACTCTCTCCCTCCAATCTGATATTAAATTTTTCATCACCTAATCTTTTTGTTATCCTCATAACCTTACTCTTTCCTGTATTCACCTTTAATTTTCTTCTTTTGCACATCCTACCAAATTCATCCACCAATCTCTGCAACTTCTCTTCAGAATCTCCCAAGAGCACAGTGTCATCAGCAAAGAGCAGCTGTGACAACTCCCACTTTGTGTGTGATTCTTTATCTTTTAACTCCACACCTCTTGCCAAGACCCCTCGCATTTACTTCTCTTACAACCCCATCTATAAATATATTAAACAACCACGGTGACATCACACATCCTTGTCTAAGGCCTACTTTTACTGGGAAAAAATTTCCCTCTTTCCTACATACTCTAACTTGAGCCTCACTATCCTCGTAAAAACTCTTCACTGCTTTCACTAACCTACCTCCTACACCATACACTTGCAACATCTGCCACATTGCCCCCCTATCCACCCTGTCATACGCCTTTTCCAAATCCATAAATGCCACAAAGACCTCTTTAGCCTTATCTAAATACTGTTCACTTATATGTTTCACTGTAAACACCTGGTCCACACACCCCCTACCTTTCCTAAAGCCTCCTTGTTCATCTGCTATCCTATTCTCCGTCTTACTTTTAATTCTTTCATAATAACTCTACCATACACTTTACCAGGTATACTCAGCAGACTTATCCCCCTATAATTTTTGCACTCTCTTTTATCCCCTTTGCCTTTATACAAAGGAACTATGCATGATCTCTGCCAATCCCTAGGTACCTTACCCTCTTCCATACATTTATTAAATAATTGCACCAACCACTCCAAAACTATATCCCCACCTGCTTTTAACATTTCTATCTTTTTCCCATCAATCCCGGCTGCCTTACCCCCTTTCATTTTACCTACTGCCTCACGAACTTCCCCCACACTCACAACTGGCTCTTCCTCACTCCTTCAAGATGTTATTCCTCCTTGTCTTATACACGAAATCACAGCTTCCCTATCTTCATCAACATTTAACAATTCCTCAAAATATTCCCTCCATCTTCCCAATACCTCTAACTCTCCATTTAATAACTCTCCTCTCCTATTTTTAACTGACAAATCCATTTGTTCTCTAGGCTTTCTTAACTTGTTAATCTCACTCCAAAACTTTTTCTTATTTTCAACAAAATTTGTTGATAACATCTCACCCACTCTCTCATTTGCTCTCTTTTTACATTGCTTCACCACTCTCTTAACCTCTCTCTTTTTCTCCATATACTCTTCCCTCCTTGCATCACTTCTACTTTGTAAAAACTTCTCATATGCTAACTTTTTTCTCCCTTACTACTCTCTTTACATCATCATTCCACCAATCGCTCCTCTTCCCTCCCGCACCCACTTTCCTGTAACCACAAACTTCTGCTGAACACTCTAACACTACATTTTTAAACCTACCCCATACCTCTTCGACCCCATTGCCTATGCTCTCATTAGCCCATCTATCCTCCAATAGCTGTTTATATCTTACCCTAACTGCCTCCTCTTTTAGTTTATAAACCTTCACCTCTCTCTTCCCTGATACTTCTATTCTCCTTGTATCCCATCTACCTTTTACTCTCAGTGTAGCTACAACTAGAAAGTGATCTGATATATCTGTGGCCCCTCTATAAACATGTACATCCTGAAGTCTACTCAACAGTCTTTTATCTACCAATACATAATCCAACAAACTACTGTCATTTCGCCCTACATCATATCTTGTATACTTATTTATCCTCTTTTTCTTAAAATATGTATTACCTATAACTAAACCCCTTTCTATACAAAGTTCAATCAAAGGGCTCCCATTATCATTTACACCTGGCACCCCAAACTTACCTACCACACCCTCTCTAAAAGTTTCTCCTACTTTAGCATTCAGGTCCCCTACCACAATTACTCTCTCACTTGGTTCAAAGGCTCCTATACATTCACTTAACATCTCCCAAAATCTCTCTCTCTCCTCTGCATTCCTCTCTTCTCCAGGTGCATACACGCTAATTATGACCCACTTCTCGCATCCAACCTTTACTTTAATCCACATAATTCTTGAATTTACACATTCATATTCTCTTTTCTCCTTCCATAACTGATCATTCAACATTACTGCTACCCCTTCCTTTGCTCTAGCTCTCTCAGATACTCCAGATTTAATCCCATTTATTTCCCCCCACTGAAACTCCCCTACCCCCTTCAGCTTTGTTTCGCTTAGGGCCAGGACATCCAACTTCTTTTCATTCATAACATCAGCAATCATCTGTTTCTTGTCATCCGCACTACATCCACGCATATTTAAGGAAACGTGTGGCATGTTTTCCCCATGATCCCAAGGTCTCTGATCCCACTGGGACAAATTGATACTGCTGGTTTATGTCCCTGTACTTGCTGATCTTGTACTCCTGTAGCAAGGGTTCTCTTTATGATGTCGTTGACCTCGTTGTGTCTTGCGTGCCAGCCCTTGGTCTTGGAACAGTTAAGACCATGTAGACCATATTGGTCGGCTTGCGCATCGCCGCAAATACACGAATATTCCATGTGAATTAGGGCAGCAAGGCGCAGAGCCACTGCAATACGGAGGGTCTTTGGGTCGAGGCGCGTTCTCATTGCCGAAATGGGAACTGTATATATATATATATATATATATATATATATATATATACATCATGGTCCTGGGCCCCAACAGAACTGCACAGCTTGTGTCACATGTGGAGACGTGCTGAGCACTCGTTGACTTTTGGAGCACAGGGGTCGACAAAAAGCGGAAGTGAAGCAGTTTCTTTGATTACATTTGCCAAGATAAGAAAATTAGCGACAGACAGAAATTTTGTTTTCATTTGCAAGTTATCTACTGTTTTGTCTATCCCCAATCTATCCTCCTAATTAACTATCACACTTTCACATAGAGTTTGAAGCTTATTTGCAAGTTAGGTTGGCTTAGGTTAAGTTAGGCTGGGTTAGGTTGAGCTAGGTAGATTAGGTTATGTTGAGGTAGGTTAGGTTTGGTGAGATTAGATTACAACGAGATAACTACAAGATAAAAAAAATATGATAAAATAATCTGCCGCGCGAATAGAAAACGGGCAGTCACTTCACTCGGCTCATGTCATATTTGGTGTTAAGGCTCTGTCAATAGCCAGCCGTTGGATTGTTTTTACATCAGTGCCCCGTTATAAGGACAGGCTGCTTTCCAATTGCCTTCAATTTCTTTCATTTTTTAGGTAAACCTCTAATTAATTAGGTGGTAATTAAAGTACGTTGTATGAAATTCCAGGTTATTAATAACAAACTAGCCATGCGTCACACTTTATTGATATAAATTTAGCTGACAGTTCCATTCTGTGTTAGTTTTGAGACCCATGTTTATATATTTACATTAGTAGGCGGTAGTGAAGGTCCTGTTAAACACACTTGGTGATAATATTGTGCACATGGGCCGCGGGGGCGTTGACCCCTGGAACACCCTCCAGGTAGACTCCAGGTAGATAGCACAACTTTACTCTTCCTGACAAGTAGCAAGAGTTACCATTCCTACTTATGGTATCTGTGCTTAGGGATCCACAATAGAAAACCAGCTGATAAGGGATATAAATAATGTCCTGAGGATGTCCCTCCAATAGGGAGCCCGTAACAGTGGATTCAAATTAGATAAGTTTGGATTTGGAAGGGATATAGGAGGGTATTAATTTGGAGATGGTGTGGTTGATGAGTGGAACAGTCTATCTGTTGGGGTGATTGAACCTGGAATCTTGGGTAGTTTAAAGTGTTGATTGGATAAATACATGAAAAGCGAAACGTTGCCGCAATAAAATGCCACATTAGTTGCAGTTGTGTCTTTTTACCTAAAATATTGTCGGTAATTCTACCAGCATGCATAAATACATGAGTGAGAGGGGTTGGATTTAAGTGGGACTTGGACATGAGTAAATAGATTTATCAGAGCTTATTGTTAGGGTAGCAGTGAAAGTGGGTTAGGCAAATATTCTGTTAGTGGGTTGGATTGTGAAGGACCTGCCCAGTATGGGCCAGAAGGCCTACTGCAGTGTTCCTCCTTTCTTATGTTTTTATGTTCTGTTGCTGCCCAGCAGAAATCAAAGCAGTTAAAATAATCACCCATTCAGATTTTAAACAATACACACGTGGCCCTCGAGGCTTGGTCATGGACCTGGCCGTGGGGGCGTTAACCCCATGAATACTCTCCACTCTGGTATAAACCTCTGATATAAACAAGCTGGTTTAGAAAAAAACACGTAAGCAAACACTATGACATATTTATTAGAAAACGTTTCGGTCCTGGGACCTTGATCACATCTAACATACAGAGGCTGAAAGACATTATATATAGGCGGAGAATGTGGTGTGAGTGACTCATGGTGCCCTGAAGAATGCCATGTTGAGATGAGGACGGGTAGACGATGAGATTATGTGGCTCCTGTGTTGCTGGGTAGGTCGTGCTTTACCTTTTGGAGTATCATGTATGCTTATGTTTTAGAAATTTTGTGGTTTCCAGTGTTGTGTTCTATTGTGTCGGTGACGGCATTTGTAGTGAGGCTTCTAGACATCGTCGACGTCTGAGGTCTGGTTCGGTGAGAACGAGTTATGCCTCATTCCAGTTCATCAAATGCACCGTGGAGTCTCTATGGAGGACACAGGCGTACCTTAAATCGTCTCTATTACAGGCACTTCGGTGCTCGTTCAGGCGGACCGCAAGATCTCTGCCTAGGGACACAATCCACAGGGGATGGTGCAGACGCCTGCTAAGGAAGTTAGAGATGTGGGGCTGCGTCTACACCATCCCCTGTGGATTCTGTCCCAAGAAATATGTAGGCGAAACAGGCAGAGATCTTGCGGTCCACCTGAGCGAGCATCGAAGTGCCTGTAATAGAGACGATTTAAGGTACGCCTGTATCCTCCATAGAGACTCCACGGGGCATTTGATGAACTGGGATGAGGCACAACTCGTTCTCATCGAACCAGACCTTAGACGCCCACGATTTCGAGAAGCCTCGCTAATGGCCGTCACCGACACAATAGAACACAATACTGGAAACCACAAAATTTCTAAAACATAAGCATATATGATACTAAACCAGGCACAACACGACCTACCCAGCAACACAGGAGTCACATGATCTCATCATCTACCCGTCCTCAACCCAAAGCGGCATTCTTCAGGTCACAATGCGTCACTCACACCTCACTCTCCACCTATATGTAGTGTCTTTCAACCTCTGTATGTTAGAAGTGAACAAGGTCCCAGGACCGAAACTTTTAATCTGTCCTTGTGTTTACTTACGTGTTTTTCTAAACCACTCTCCACTCTTCCTGACAACTGTTACCAACCCCGGTAGGTGTTGAAAACCCGTCAAGTTTTATCAACCCCCACAACTGTTACCAACCCCGAAGTGTTACAAAACCATGACAAGTGTTACCAATTCTTGAAAGTGTCAACAACCCTAGCAAGTATTACCAACCAATGCAACTGTTACCAACCCCGAAGTGTTGCAAAAACCATGACAAGTGTTACCAATCCCTGCAAGTGTCAACAACCCTAGCAAGTGTTGTCAACCATGCAACTGTTCTCAACCCTGGTAAGTGCTATATTTATCAATTCTTACAAGTGTTACCAACTCCAGCAAGTGTTACCAAACTCAGCAAGTAGCAATTCCAGCAAGTGTTACCAATTCCAGCAAGTGTCACCAAACCAAATAAGTGTTAAAAATTCCAGCAACTGTTACCAAACCCAGAAAGTGTTAAATTGCAAGGTAACTTCGACTAGCTCTTTATTTCAACCCTGACTTCCCTCTGCCTTCTCCATGCCTTCCTCCCAGTCTTCCTATCTCTACCCTGCCTTTCCCCCTGCCTTCGACACTGCCTACTTCCCTGCTTTTCTCCTGTCTTTCCCTCCAGCCTCTCATCCTGCAAGTGTACCAGAGTTACCAGTCTACTCCTCCAGGGTTGACCTGACACTGAAAATTCCTGTTATACACATTATAGCCCCTGGTGATAGAGCCGTTGATGTAGATGTAGATGTCCATGGGGATGCCGACGGTGTTTGGGGCTTCCACTATACTGAAGTTCTGCCCCAGCTCGGTGTTATAGTACATTGTACCGTCACCCCAGACTGGTCCAGCACTGCTGTTAACGAGGTCCAATGCCCATTTACCACCTGAATTAAAAAAATAGATGGGTAAAGATTGTGACCTGGAATGTTAGTATTCAATTTTATATCTAACTTCATACTGTTTTAAATATAATGATATCTGTAGTTTGTTATAAACAAAAGTTCTGACTGTTGATTCATGTTATGACGAATATTTTGTTCCGGATGTAAACATTTGGGTTTTATGACACCAACGCTGTTTTTTTCTTAGACGCTTCCGACAAACAAACATTCAGTAGCAACACCTGGTGCAGGCAACATTCAGTAGTAACACCTGGTGCAGGCAACATTCAGTAGTAACACCTGGTGCAGGCAACGTTTTTTAAGAACATAAGAACATAAGAAAGAAGGAACACTGCAGCAGGCCTACTGGCCCATGCGAGGCAGGTCCAAGTCTCCTAGCGGCTTAAGCCAATGCCCCAATCTAGTCAGGGCAGGTCACATTCACTTAAGGAAGGAACACGACAACTGACCTAGTAGCACAAGCTAGTCAGGTCCAACTCACACCCACCCACACCCACTCATGTATTTATCTAACCTATTTTTAAAACTACACAACGTTTTTGCCTCAATAACTGTACTTGGGAGTTTGTTCCACTCATCCACAACTCTATTACCAAACCAGTGCTTTCCTATATCCTTCCTGAATCTGAATTTTTCCAACTTAAAACCATTGCTACGAGTCCTGTCTAGGCTAGATATTTTCAGCACGTTATTTACATCCCCTTTATTTATTCCTGTCTTCCATTTATACACCTCAATCATATCCCCCCCCTAATTCTACGTCTTTCTACAGAGTGCAGATTCAGGGCCCTTAGTCTATCCTCATAGGGAAGGTTTCTGATACATGGGATCAACTTTGTCATCCTCCTTTGTATGTTTTCCAGAGCATTTATATCCATTCTATAATACGGTGACCAAAACTGTGCAGCATAATCTAAATGAGGTCTAACCAAGGATATATAGAGTTGAAGAACAACCTGAGGACTTCTATTATTTATGCTTCTTGATATGAAGCCAAGGATTCTGGTAGCTTCATTGCGGACACTTATGCACTGTTGTCTTGGTTTCAGATTACTGCTAATCAGGACTCCTAAATCTTTTTCGCAATCCGTAATACTAAGATCGACATTATTTAGTTTATATGTGGTATGGTTATTTTCCTGTCCAACATTTAGAACTTTGCATTTGTCTATATTAAACTGCATCTGCCACTTCTCCGACCACTGCATCAATCTATTCAAATCTTCCTGGAGTGCTCTAATGTCCTCGTCAGAATGAATTCGACGGCCTATTTTGGTGTCATAGGCAAACTTGCTTATGTCGCTCTTTATGCCCTCATCAATGTCGTTTATGTAGATTATGAACAACAGGGGGCCCAACACTGACCCCTGTGGAACACCGCTCGTGACGCTTCCCCACTCTGATTTCTCCCCATTTATGCAAACTCTCTGCTGCCTATTTGTCAACCACGCCTCTATCCAGGAAAAAATTTCTCCTACTATTCCATGTGCCTTAATTTTCCTCATTAGTCTCTGATGTGGGGCCCTGTCAAAAGCCTTACTGAAGTCCATATACACAATATCATATTCATTACCATGATCTACCTCCTCAAATACCTTAGAGAAAAAATTAATAAATTCGTAAGGCAGGAACGCCCCTTTGTAAAACCGTGTTGAGATTCGTTGATTAATTTGTGCTTTCAAGGTGGCTACGAACTGCCTCGGCAATTATTGATTCCATAAATTTTCCCACTATGGAGGTTAGGCTTATCGGTCTATAGTTCGAAGCTAAGGACCTGTCACCTTTTAGCAACACCTGGTGCAGGCAACATTCAGTAGTAACACCTGGTGCAGGCAACGTTTTTTTTAGCAACACCTGGTGCAGGCAACATTCAGTAGCAACACCTGTTGGAGGCAACATTTAAAAGTAACACCTGGTGCAGGCAACATTCAGTAACAACACTTGGTGCAGGCAACAGTTTTTAGCAACACCTGGTGCAAGCAACATTTAGTAACAACACCTGGTGCAGGCAACATTCAGTAGCAACACCTGGTGCAGGCAACATTCAGTAACAACACCTGATGCAGGCAACATTTTTTAGCAACACCTGGTGCAAGCAACATTCAATAACAACACCTGGTGCAGGCAACATTTAGTAGTAACACCTGGTGCAGGCAACATTTTTTAGCAACACCTGGTGCAAGCAATATTCAGTAGCAACACCTGGTGCAGGCAACATTCAGTAGTAACATCAGGTGCAGGCAACATTCAGCAGCAACACATGGTGCAGACAACATTCAGTAGTAACACCTGGTGCAGGCAACATTCAGTAACAAAAACTGGTTCAGGCAACGTTCAGTAGCAACAACTGGTGCAAGTAACACTCAGTAGCACCAAATGGTGCAGCCAACATTCAGTAGCAACACCTGGTGCATGCAACATTCATTAGCAACACCTCGTGCAGACAACATTCAGTAGCAACACATGGTGCAGGCAACATTCAGTAGCAACACCTGGTGCAAGCAACATTCAGTAGCAACATCTGGTGCACTGAACATTCAGTAGCAACGCCTGGAGCAGGCAACATTCAGTAACAACACCTGGTGCAGGCAACATTCAGTAGCAAAACCTGCTGCAGGCAACATTCAGTAGCAACACCTGGTGCAGGCAACATTCAGTAGCAACACCTGGTGCAGGCAACATTTGGTGCACGGAACATTCAGTAGCAACACTTGGTGCAGGAAACATTCAGTAGCAACACCTGGTGCAGGCAACATTCAGTAGTAACACCTGGTGCAGGAAACATTCAGTAGCAACACCTGGTGCAGGAAACATTCAGTAGCAACACCTGGTGCAGGCAACATTTAGTAGCAACACCTGGTGCAGGCAACATTCAGTAGCAACACCTGGTGCAGACAACATTCGGTAGCAACACCTGGTGCAGGCAACATTCAGTAGCAACACCTGGTGCAGGCAACATTCAGTAGGAACACCAGGTGCAGGCAACATTCAGTAGCAACACCTGGTGCAGGCAACATTAAGTAGCAACACCTGGTGCAGGCAACATTCGGTAGCAACACCTGGTGCAAGCAACATTCAGTAGCAACACCTGGTGCAGGCAACATTCCGTAGCAACACCTGGTGCAGGCAACATTCGGTAGCAACACCTGGAGCAGGCAACATTCGGTAGCAACACTTGGTGCAGGCAACACTCGGTAGCAACACCTGGTGCAGGCAACATTCGGTAGCAACACCTGGTGCAGGCAACATTCAGTTACAACACTTAGCGCAGGCAACATTCAGTAGCAACACCTGGTTCAGGCAACATTCAGTAGCAACACCTGGTGCAGGCAACATTCGAGGGGGGGGCCCCCTTTTTGGTACCCCCCCTTTGGGAAAAAAAAAAAAAAAGGGGGGCCCAAAAAAAAAAAAGGGGGCCCGGAAAAACCAAAAAAAAGGGCCCGGGGAAAAAACCAAAAAAAAAACCCTTTTCCCCCCGGGGGGAAAAAAAAAATTTAAAAAAAAGGGGGAAAAAAAAAAGGGGGGAAAAATTTAAAAAAACCCCCCCCTTTTTTTAAAAAAACCCCTTTAAAACCAAAAAAAACCCCCCGGGGGGGAAAAAAATTTTAAAACCCCCGGGGAAAAAAATTTAAAAAAATTGGGAAAAAAACCCAAAAAAGGGGGAAAAAAAAAAATTTTTTAAAAAAGGAAACCCCCCCGGGGGGGGGGGGTTTCCAGGCAACTTTTTAAACAGGGGGGGGGAAAAAAGGGAAAAAATTTGGGGGAAACATTCAGTAGAACACCGGGTTTCCGGAAATTTAAAAAAAGGGGGGGGTTTTTAAAAAAAAAAGGGGGCCCCCCCCCCAAAAAAAAAAAAAGGCCAAAAAAACCCCGGGAAAAGGGGGGAAAAACCCCCCCGGGGGGGAAAAAATTTCCCCCGGGGGAACAAAAACCCTTTTTGGGGCCCTTTTTTAAAAAACCCCGGGGCGGAAAATTTTTAAAAACCCCTTAAAATTTCCCAGGGCAACCCCTTGGTGCAAAAAAAAATTTTTAAAAAACCCCCGGGGGTTTTTTTCCCCCCCAAGGGGGGTTTTTTCCAAAAAAAAAAAAAAAAATTGGGGGAAAAACCCGGAAGGAACCCTTGGGAAAAATTTTTTGGGAAAAAAATTTTTTTTCCCCCCCAAAAAAAAATTTTCCCCCCCGGGGGGAAAAATTGGAAGTTTTTTTGGGGGGGAAAAAACCCCAAACCCCAAAAACCCCCCCCCAAATTAAAAATTTTTTCCCAAAAAAAAACCCAAAAAGGGGGGCCCCCCCAACATTTGGTTTTTTTTTAAAAACCCCGGTGGCAAAAATTTTAAAAAGGGCAAAAACTTTAAAAAAATTTTAAAAATTTTAAAAAATTTTTAAGGAAAAAAAAACCAAAAAAAAAAAAACCCCCCCCCCCCCAAAAAACCCCGGGGGAAAAAAAACCCCAAAAACAAAAGAACCCCCCGGGGGGAAAATTTTCCAGTAAACCCTTTGGTCAAAAACTTTTAAAAAAAAAATTGCCCAAAAAAAAAAAAAACCCCCCCCCCCCCATTCAAAAAAAGGGGAAAAAAAAACCCCCGGGAAAAAAAACCCCCGGGGGGGAAAATTTTTCCCCCGGGGGGAAAAAAGGACCCTTTAAAACCCCCGGAAAAAAAAAACCCCAAAATTTAAAAAAAAAAAAAAAAGGGGGGGTTTTTTTTGGGGGGGGAAAAAAGGGGAAAAAAAAGGGGGAATTTTTTTCCCCCCCAAAACCAAACCCCCCCCGGGGGGGGGTTTAAAAAAAGGGGGGGGCCCCCCCGGGCCAAAAAAAAGGTTTTTTAAAAAAAAAAAAAAAAAAAAAAGGGGGGAAAAAGGGGAAAAAACCGGGGGCCCCCGGGAGCAAAAAAAAGGGGGGCCACCCCCAAAAAAGGGAAAAACCAAACCGGCCAAAAAAAAAGGGGGGGAAAACCCCTTAAAAAATTTTAAAACCTTTTCCC